TTAACCGACTGCGCCACCCAGGCGCCCCTCTGATGTGATTTTCTATGTTGACTGTAAATCTGTGTAGAATGAGACACACAGAAGGGTATGTATCCAACCCGGCCCCTAGGTACTCTAATCAGTTCGTTTCGACCTTTCAAAGTAGATACGTTCTTGGTCAAATCTATACCACTGTGTAATCTGCCTCCAAACTTAGTTTCTGGCGACGGGAGTCGTCCGCTTCCCATTGGAAGCGTTGGCTGACACGGAGGCTAACCCAAGAGAGGGGTGTTGTCCGGGGAAATTTTCAGTGGGGTTGACAAATTGCAAGGTGTTTTGTTCTGCTTTTGCTTTGACTTTCTTATCTCACATTAGTTACTAGGCAAACTGAACAGCTGAGCCCCCTGTCTGTCACACACTCTTATACATCGGTGGTCTCACCCAGGGACACGTAGGTACCGAAAACCATGACACCGGTGGGGTTTTTTTGCCTCCAGGTCAACCAGTGAATTTATCCACGGGTTTTATATCATTAAATTGTAGACCCTTTATTACAGAACCGGCGGCATTTCAACCATTCGTTGGAGTAGCAGGCGCGGCCAGCATGTGCGCCTTCTGGGTCCCGCCCTGATGTTACCGTGAAGAAGCAGGCGATCCGGAAAACGACGAGAAGTACTTCCGGAATGCTGCCTACGAGGTTCCGGAAGGAAGCGCTTCCTTGATGTAAACTTAAAACAAGACAGAGGAGACTCTGAATCGTGGCCGTTTTGAACTTCTTACCTCTAACACCGGTGGCCTGTCTGGCCTCCTTGCGGTCTCCCAGCCATCAGCCATAGACCTAGCCTTGCCGACTCCTGCCAGAAATGACATTATTTAATGGGAGTGTCACAGGATTTTATCTTAAATGTGAGAATGAATGCATGGGAGTAACGAAACCACAGATCCCTTGTGCCTGAACGTTGCTACATAAATTATTGCCATTCAACTTAACGTTTTGATAAATTCACATGCAGCCATAGGGTAAGTTTTACTCTTCCCTTTCAGCCAAAATTAGGAAGGAAAATTAGGAAGGAAAACTGATTTACTTCACATCATAAGGGCATCCAATCCTGTGTGTGGATGGTTGATCTCATCCACCCCCGTGCTTCAAGATGACACCTCCTAAGTCGCTCATATCCTATTGGGGTGCTTAGTGCGGGTTCATACCATATTGGGGTGCTTAGTGCGGGTACCCAGACGCCCCAAATGCAGGCCAGCTCCCACAGCAGCATCTCACCTATCATATTGTTTGGATGCCCAAAGTGTGCGTTGCTGAATCCTACACAGGCGCCCCCGTGAGCGATGGCTGCGAGGTCAAACGGTTCCTTGGGATCAGTTGCGGTCCAGTCCTTCTGTCCACAACCATACACTCTAAGACGTGCAATCCCACCGTCTGAGAAGGAAAGAGGCCGTGGTCATTTCTTACTTGGAGAGGGGGCTGTTTGTGGGTCATAAACGACAAAGCTCTCCACACCTGTCTGCTCTGTTTCTCAAATACACCAACCCAGCTGCCCCAGGGCCTTTGCACCCACCATTCCCTTGTACTGGAACTACTTTCCCAGCTCTGCAAAAGGCCATTTGTTGTTCTTAGGTGTCACCTTATGTGTCATGGCGTCAAAGATGCTCTTCCTGTCACTGTCTAGTTATCTCCCTCCAGCTCTGCCTAGCCCCGCCTGATTCTCCAGGTTGGGTGAGTCATCATCCCCTCCTGCGAATTTTTGCCAGAGCTCAAACCACAGCCTGAAATGATCTTGTCATGTATTTGTTTAAGCCCCTGCTATCAGTATCTCAGAACCAGAATATAAAATCTTTGAAAGCCAGAATAGTGATCTATCTCGTTTGCTTCTCTATTGTCTCTACCTAGTACTGGTCCTGGCACACAGCAGGTACTGACATTTCTTATTGGATTAATAACTCCAGGAAGGTCAAAGAGCTGTTGGAAGATCCACCAGAGATATAATGTTTGGGGCCACAGATTAGCGTTGCTAAATACCACACAGACTCATACAAGAGCCTTATGTTTCCATTTTTGTAAAAACACTGACTGAGAAGAGGGAAGATAATGTTCACAAAACCAAATCGCTCTGAGAACCACAGCAGCCTAGAGTAGGTCTGCAGAGCACACAGTAGCCGCCAACATCAACTCACATTCTCGGATTCTGAGAAAGCAAGTATTTTTGGTGTTTGAATAGTACTTCCTGGAAGATGGGAGGAAGCTTTGCATAAACAGCTTTCCTCGGTATTCTACTGAAACCAAGCCCTTATATTGTTCCACGAAAACCTTGATGAAAGTGAGTGATCAGAAAAGAATTCAGTAGAACGGTCTTGATATTTACAATAAATAAAACCAGACTGTGTTGGCATAAACCCCTAAAAATTACACCAGAGGGGGTCATTCGGCAGAAACTAACTTAGGGAAACCTCTCCTCTGGTTCACAGAGCATCGGGATTCACTCCAACGCACAGAACACACTTGCCTGTTGAGTGTAAAGCTGATTTTAGGTCTTTAAAAAATAGGATTCTTCTTTATAGACTTCATATCCAGCCTCGCTTTTAATCAAAACTATCAGGGACATCAGGCATGCCACTCCACGCTCTGAGAGTGACTCATCTAAAGCAACCTGTTGCCACTCCAGGACAAAACACTGCTTCCTTCCCCTTTATACTTGAACCCCGGGGAAAATATTTGTAAATCTGTTAAAGGATTTGTATCTAGGATATACAAAGAGCTCTTACAATTCAACAATAAAAGACAAAAACCCAACTTAAGAATGGGCAAAAGATCTGAAAAGGTATCTTTCCAAAAAAAACATGTAGGTATGCGTGTGTGTGTGTGTGTGTGTGTGTATGATCTGTACATAAACACACACAAATGGCCAAGTACAGAACTGAAATATGCTCGTCATCATTAGTCCTAGAGAAATGCAAGTCAAAACCACAAGGAGACCCCACTGCACATCCTCTAGGATGGCTCCAATCAAACAGGCAGATGACAGTACGTGTTGGTGAGGATATGGAGAAACGGGAACCCGCCCACGCTGTCGGTGACAACGTAAGATAGTGCCACCATGGTGGAAAACAATGGGAGAGTTCCTCCAACAATTAAAAATGTAGCTATCAGGGCGTCTGGGTGGCTCATTAAGCATCCGGCTCTTGATTTCGGCTCAGGTCATGATCTCGCTGTTCGTGGGACGGAGCCCCACGTGAGGCTCTGTGCTGGCAGTGTGGAGCCTGCTCGGGATTCTCTCTCTCCCTCTTTCTCTCTGCCCCTCCCCTACTCACACGTGCATGTGCTCTCTCAAACTTTATTTAAAAAACATAAATAAAAACATAGTTATCATATGACTCAGCGAGTCCAATCCTATGTGTATACCCAAATGAAAACATATATCCACACAAAAACCTGTAAAGGAATATTTATAGCAGCGTTTTTATAGCCAACGGGTGGAAACAACCCGAATGTCCATCAGTAGATGACTATATAAACAGTACGGTTTATCCATACAATGGAGTATCGTTCCTCCACGGAAAGACATAAAGTACCCCTGATAACAAGCCTTGAAAACATGGTGAGCGAGAGAGGCGAGTCACAAAAGACCATTTATGTGAAATGTCCAGCATGGTCAACTCTGTCCAGACAGAAAGCAGACTGGTGGCTGCTGAGGGCCGCGGGAGGTGAGGGTTGAGAGCAAGACACAGGATTTCCTTTTGAGGTGAGAGCAGGGTTCTCAAATTGAGCGTGGTGATGGTTGCACCTATGCTGTGTTTTTCCGCATATACCCGGCTAAACCGTAAACCGCTGAACGGTGCACTGCAAGTCGGCGAATTACATTACGACAAAGTTGTTAAGTAAGAGAAAATGAGGGACTTTTGCACCCACCGCCTCATCTGCTGGTGCACCTGGCAAAATAGAATGTGTTAGGAGACATTTAACCTGATACAACTCCCTCCCATCACCTCCTAATTGACCTGGTGCTCTTTCAGTAACTACCAACAGATGGCTGGGCCGCGACGAGAATTTCCTAGGGCACAAAAAGGGGCCACCTGTCACCCGAAAATGCTAGAGAGACAAGTGCCTTCAACTGAAACATGCCCACACCAAGTCAAGAGGCCACAAGACGGCAGATGGGGCCACATCATACTTACCCGGGAAAATGTTGAGTCTCACGTGAGTCCACCTCTGCTGGGAGTCGACAGGAAAATAATTGTGGCTGGAAGCAGGCTTTCCTGGCTTAAGCTCTGTCATGGGAACCAAGTAATTCCAGTCGTTGGACCCCAGCTAGCAATAAATAGAAAGTGTTAGCAGTGGCCCCAAGGACAGTAAATTCTCTCACCCTGGTGCTCATGTGGGGCCTACAGGATAGAGATACTTTGGAACAAAACCTGATGATGGCTGCCTAGTAAAATACTTCAATAAGAATACTGATAAAGATCAAGTCCCAGGTTTAATAAGCAGACTACAGCCCTGAGGGCTTTTCATCCAGATCGAAATAGGCACCGGGCGATGGCAGCAGGGGAACGGGCAGGGAGGGTTGGGAAGAAGGGGCAAGACCTGGGACTCCCTCTGAGGCTTCTAGAAGAAACCAGAATTGGTGACGTGAACATCGGTGCACACCAGGCTGCTCCCTTGGGCCCTGAGACCTGGGGTGAACGGGTTGACCTGAACGTCGTGACCAGCATTCCTCAGACTGAAGGGCCTGTGTGTTGTTCTCTCACTGTTTATTTCCCAGTCTGTTATGGATCAACACTTTCGTAAAACACAATATAAATTAACGACTGGACAAGCCTTAAAAGACAGGAATGTACAAAAAAGCACAAGTCCACGTGGTTCCTTTGCCAGACTCGGCAGGCATAAAAGGTACGTAAAGTCGTACTCCCGATTTCTGTATTTATCTTATCGGGGTAGCACCTGGCAGGTAGCAGGGCCAGGCAGACCCCCTGGGACACATCGCTAGTCCTCACTCGGGCTGTAGGAACCATTTGTGACGCTGGACGAGTAGATGAGGAGAGGCGTGAGTGGGTGGGGTGTCCCTAAGAAGCACCCTCATGGCCAGGCCTGTGCCCTGGCCACCGCGACAAGCAGCCGACCCTGTTAGCAGACGCACCTTAGCAACAGCCTCAAACTCCGCCGGGGTGGCCGCGGCCCCTGTCCTGACTCCTCTCTGTGGCATTTCTGGTGCTTTATCTGGAGGCAGAGGGACCAACGCGGTTACGGTTTGCGTTCGGAATCAAAGACAATATACTCCTAGTGGGCGGTCTGCTCGTTTTTATTCCGCCAAATCACCCCAGAGAGAAGCTTCCTTAAGTCAAAGTATCAGATGATCAAAGTGATAGACTTGCTGAAGTTCCTCGACATTTGAAATACTGAGTAATTCCAGAAGGTGCTGCAGTACATTTGGTAGTACTTTTGCTCGTCAAAATACAACACCATCTCCAGGGTGAGTCTAGCTGCAGCAAATCTATCACACGACTCGAGTTTTCAGGAGTCGGATCAATGGAGGTTCTGGAAAATTGCAACGTCAAGGCCAGAAGAAGACCGTCCCCCACGGCATCCTTGGAATCGACACTTGGGCGATCCCGAATCGGACTCAGAAGGAATCCTCCTTTTTGGCATCAGGCAATTCCTGCCTCTGCAGCAGCACCTGTCCTGTCCTCACCTACGTTCTCAGGTGCCCCCAGTGTCGGGAGCAGGGCCCGTCCCCTTCCGTAGCGCCTCGTACAGGGCTGTGGACACAGTGCTTTCAGCGTAAATCTGCCAACCGGCGTGATTTATCTTCCCTAAACACGTGTACGTACACACACATCGTGGTCCCTGCTTCTAAAAACAGTAACGCTGGGACCAGCATCAGACGGTACCGTCGAAGGAGCGAAAGCAGGGGTCTGACTAGTACTTACGCTTCATTCCACGAGGCACAAAGAACCCCTTCCTGACAACTCCGTGGCTGCCGCACTCGTGCCCACAGGGACAGCCACCACCTCACAGCCGGCCCACGCCTGGCTCCACACTGTCCAGCAGCCCACGCGCTGCCCTCCCCTGCACCCTGCTCGCCCCGGCGAGGCCTCAAGAGCGTGGGAACAATGAACTCCACACGTGGCCAAGCTAAAACTCAGAAACCACGGAACACTGCACTGGGAACCCAAGTTCCAAAGCCTGTGGCACTAACGTGGCCTTAGACACGTTGCTGAACCTGTCTGGGCAAAAATTGCACGGGGCGGGGGTGCTGGGGGAGGGGGGGCAGGCCAGGGGAACGGTTCCCAAGGCACCTCCTTCCAAGTTTGCTGCTTGGATTGATATCCGAGGAGCGTAATCTCCCATGAAGTAGGAAATGTCCACATCGAAGCCCCGGATAATCCCTTGTATCCCCAGCTTGATGATGCACCAGTCGTGACCTACGGGAGGGAAGCGAGGGCATCCCCGTCAGGCGTAACTCGGCAGACAAAGCGCGTGATTGAACAGGACCGAGATGAAGAAAAGACTCAGCGACACCCCCTCCCATCCCAGAAAAGGGCATGCAGGGTCACTCTTGGCTGTGACGTAAAGATGCCCTCGGCACGGCCACGCACGCCCCGTGCCCCATGACAGCCCTCCGCCCCAGCCACGGGCCTTGGATCCAGGGAGACCCGATTCTGGTTCCAAAGTGAAAACTGGGCCCTGCGAGCCTCCTTCTTCCACTGCGAATCAGGGATGAGATCAGCTTCCAAAACTCAAATGTGACTGTGTCCAGGGTAGAGAACAGCCCGCCCCGCTCGGCAGGTGCTTGGCGCACGGCTGGGCCTCCGGCAAACCGCTTGCTCGCTGTCGCCTCAGGCTCTGCGGGGCCCAGCTGCCCCCTCCCCGCGGCTGCTAAAGCGCAAGAAGTCTACAAGCCACAGGTCACCAGCGCTTCCTGGCTACTTGTGGTCACGTGTAGACCCGGCCCGGAAATGCCCAGATTCATCAGCAGCTGCTAATGGACCTGGGAAATATCCAGGACCTCGTAGCACTTGACTCAGCCGAAGAACCCAGTTATCAGCTGGATAAGAACCCGGTTACAATGCCGATTTAGTTTGCTCTCACAGGCGCGTCTGCAGCTTTAACAGGTGTATTTTCATTGAGCCTGGTGAGGAGCAACGAATAAAAGCCGGCCCTTCTCACTGGTGACGGGACGGGGGCTGCATGGGCGAGCCCGTCTACACAGCAGTCAAGGAGGGACCAGAGCACCCTCTTCAGAGAGCCATGTAGACGCAACGCACACACGCACGCCACCCTGTGACGTTGCCACCCCGCTCGGGAGGTGTGCCCCGCCCCCCACAGCCTCACCAACACCCCCGCTGTCCCAGCAGCACATCCTCCTTTCCACCTGATGGCGCACAGACGACCCCTTCCTAAACCCTCCGAGCCTGATGTTCGGAAGGGTCACGTGAGGTCCGGGGACCCGGGACGGAGCTGCCAGAACGCACTCCGGCTTCCCAACACCCACCCGCGTTTAAGCTTTCCCGCGTTGCCACAAGGAGCAGTCTCAGTACCTGGAATCCTTTTCCTTCTGGTCTCCCATCCATCCATCCACTTCCCAAACTCCGTGTATTCGTCTTCTCTGAAGCTTGGGCTTTTAGTCTAAAGCAGAGACAGAGACAAGGGGGTGGTTGCCATCCCTGCGAGGGCCTGGCCCGTTTTGTCCCCCCGAGGGACAGGAGACCCACGCCAACGGGGACTCGGAGGGAATCCCCGGCCGGCCTGGGGGGTGCCTGCCGCGACCCTCGCACTCGGGTAACCCGTTCCAGATCAGGAGAGGCCGCCCCATTTTGCGACACCTCCAGAGAAAGAAATCCTGCTTCTCTGCGGCCCTCGATGCATAGAATTAACTGGCCGTAGTGACAGCTGAAACCCCATCGCAGTGAATTCCGTGGCCCCACAAACGGCGCAGCCCCCCCAAGGCAGCCTACGGCATCCTGAAAGAAAGAGCCAGAAAGGGTACGTCTCCCAGGCAACCCAGAAAAGACTGCTTAACAAGGAATCCGGCCCAAGCGCGTGAGGCGTAGGCGGGATGCTGAGGCCCAGCTGTACCCTTGGACCCCGGCCCTCGGAGCTGCTCCGTGTGTAGACAGCTAGCCTATTCCTTTTAGTGGCTACACAGTGTCCCATATATGGAAGTTCATATATGGGTCCCATCAATGGACGGTTGGATTGGCTCTTTCCCCTCCAAACAACACTGGGATGAATATCTTCTACACATCTTTGCCTACTTTTGCAAATAATATAAACCCGTGGAATAACTAGGTCAAAGTGTGTAGGCATTTAAGTTTTCTATAGACAGACATATGGTAAAATGAAAAGAGCTTTGACATCTATTACTGTGTGACCTAGAACAAGTAAATCAACGTCTCTGTTCCTCATTCTATTGTCATTTTCTCTGAGGAGTAAGTTAATGTATGTAAGATGTCCTTGGAATGTCATACTTTAACATGCTCTAGACCTGGCCAGGTCCTGCCCGGAAAGAGGGGCCCTGTCACCAGGGTGACGACATGGCCGGTAACCACAGTGGAGGACAGCATGCTGCCCACTCACGAGAACTCACACCCCACGACCGGCGTAGCAAGGTAGCAGGATTCCAGCTGAGGTTCCTTTCTTCCCTATATTTTCAGGTTTGTTTTTTCTCTTGTTTTGTTAATAAGCACGTCCTACACTTTTGCAATTAGTCAGGTAAGACACTTCCCCAAAATTCAACGTGTGTGCCAGATTTCTTCCTGGCCCAGATTACGAGCTCTGCGTGAGACAGAGGACAGTATGCAAGGATCTCAGCGATTTTCCCATAAAGCCACGCGGCCCCCCACATCCCTGTGTCCGATGCCCGTCTGTCTCCAATGTGTCTTAGCACGAGCCGGTGCGGATCTCTACATGTTTCTACTGTTCCAACGTGCCAGTTACCGGTCCACACTCCAGGACTCCCATCTCAAACATCCGGGCAGATTCTAATTGCCGTGTCGGCACAGATGGCTCTACCCCAACGCTTCATGGTGCGGGATGCCCACTTACGATACCTTTACGGTGCGGGATGCCCGCTGACAATACCTTTATGAGGTTTTCCGCAGGAGCAAAAAAATCATCCGTTGCAAATAAAATCTAGACAAAGAAAGAAAGAAGTAAAGGTAAAACAGCCATAAGTTAAAAACGATTTTATTTCGTTTTGCAAAAGACGCGGTAGAAAGAAACGTGGAATTGCCAGGGGGAGAGAACGCTAGGCAATGAGGACGCTGTGCTTTTGACACGTCTAGACTTCGTGGCCTGCCCCAGCTATTCCAGCCTGTACTCTGCACCCCTTGGCCATCTGGATGGGGACGTGCTGACTTCTTACACTCAGGAAGAAACTACACCAACCCTCCTTTTCAAGTATGGAGGACACTGGGCTTTGTGACTCGCTCGCACACAGAGCGATGGCCCAAAAACACCACCCTGGGCCATGCCTGTGGTTCGGCTGTCTCACCGTCGGACGCCCTGCAGGAGGGGGGCCCTGGTAATTCACCAGCCAAAGCAGGACGCTTGTGAGAGGGAGGGGGTTGCTACTCATCACCCCAAGAAAACAGGTGTAAATGGACTTTTCTGGACAAAACGGGCCGCGGCCCCACCGACCGAAGCCAGACCCTCGTGACAGCTGCCGTCGGGAGGGGACCCCGGGCACTGGTGTCGGGAATTAGCCGGTGACGGTTGCAAGGCCACTCGTCTGTGGCTGAAGTGAGGTGTGTTCATCAGGGGGCATCTGTCTACGTGGAGGAAGCCGTGTCAGGACGCTGTCACCGGCACCTGTCGCGAGGGCTCAGCAGCTCGAGCATTGACGGGCACAGCGGCTTCGCAGAAGGGACACTGAAACTCCCACTACCGGGACTCTGTGGGGTCTAGGCAGAGGGTCCGCTCTGGGCAAGGCTCCACTTTGCCAATGTGAGTAGCTCTCCGGAGATCTCGACACACCGCGGCTGCCGGGGCCGAGCCTCCTCAGGCGGCCCTGGTTGACCCGGGCCACGGTCTTGGCAGAAGGGACCCCTGCCCCTGCCCTGCCGAGGCCGCTCCTCGTGGGTGGTGGTGCAAGCCGCGTGACGGCCCCACGGTGTCAGCCATCGGAGCAGCCGCCCTGCCCGCGTGCCCCAGTGCCACCTCCAGCAGCCACGAGGGCCCCGGGCCGGCAGCCAGCCCCCAGCTCTGGGCTGGAAGGACTGACTCTACGGAGAACCAGCTTGTAGAGAAGGACACCTCGCCTAGCCCCGGACTTCATTGATCTCCTCTCCCCGCTGCCTGGACCACGAGTGTAGTTAGTGTCACGGGTTTGGGCGTGTTGTCTAGGAATTGTTATCGTGCAGGCTATTAGTTGCTGAACTATCGTTGGCAAAGTCAGTCTCAGCCTCCGAGCATAATTCGCCTCTAATGACACTACCGTCCTCGGACCCCAGCCCAGAACCTACAGGTCAGGGGAGACCTCGCTGTTCTGCTGCGGATGACTGTCGAGGAGGCAGAGTGGAGGGGATCGCGGCTGTGTCGGGGCCAACCCGCCCGCGAGAGTCTGCAAGGGCCAAGCCCGGGTGAGCGGAGCGGACACGCGGGAACGCGTCCAGGCCCGTCGCTGGCGCCTCGGCAGAAACCCTCACGGGGCACCCGGGGCCTCTCCGACCTCCCCGGGCCCATGCCCCCCAGCAAGCCCCTGATGACTTCCAGAAACACTCAACCAGCTGGGGCACGCCTCGCTGCCTCCCCCGGTGTCCTGACCGAAGCGGCCCCTCGCCCCTTTTCTTCGTCGGCTCCCTCTCCCACTTGAAGACCCCCCGTGCAGACAGGGGCCGCACAGCCTTTCCCAGCACCTCCCGCCCCACTCGCGGCCCCCGGCTCCCGCAGCACCTGTCTCCCTGGGGGAGCAGGAGCCTCTGGAGGGCAGGACGCCCCCCTCAGCCCCGTCTGTACCGGACGACGCACCTGCGAGGTGCTGGCGCTCAGTGCCTCTGCACTTTACCGGTATTGCAGTGCCCTGTGCTTGTCAACAACTGTTCCAGGTAATCCCCACACTGACATTTGAGGACCACTGTCTATACCGTGAGAAAACACAGAGGGACGGAGGACTGGTCACAGGTGCAGGATGTCTTTTTGTTCTAAGCTTAAAGCAATACTGCCTTTGCTAGAATTGTCCCCAGTTTCTTAAAAATTCTTCGGAAGCCTTTTGCGATAACGGGCTGGACTTTCGGCCCGATTCTGGCCATTCTAACTAGGTTCCTGCAGTGTTCTCCTTGCCGTGAGGCCCCCACTTACCTCTCCTCCTACGGACTCAGAGGCCATGTCAACCAGCCGGGTGAAGTCCAGAGACCTGGCCGGTTTTCCCTCCCTGGGAGAGTCGGCCATGCTTCCTAGCAACGAGAAGGGAGGCTCGGTCAGCCTCGGGCGTAGGGGGTAGCAGAACCCGCGTGAGCAAGCGAGGCCCTCGCCCGGGTCCCCCAAACCAAGGTCTGAGACACTCGACAACACACAATTGTCCAGTGGATGTGGCGGGTGCCCACGCACTCCAGGGTCCCCAACTCCAGGTTGTGACTTTGCACAAACACTGAACCGGGAGTGAATGAGAGCACACTCCCTCTGAACTACGTAAGAACAAAGTTCCACCAAATACACGAATCCCACTGCCTCAAATTGCAATTTTATTTCATTTTTTAAATTTTTTTCCTAATGTTTAGTTATTTTTGGAAGATAGAGACAGAGGACAAGCGGGGGAGGGGCAGAGAGAGAGGGAGACACAGAATCGGAAGCAGGCTCCAGGCTCCGAGCTGTCAGCACAGAGCCCGACACGGGGCTCGAACCCACGGACCGTGAGATTGTGACCTGAGCCGAAGTCAGACGCTCAACCGACTGAGCCACCCAGGCGCCCCTTTTTTATTTTTTAAAGGGGAAAATTTTTCTAGTTTAGAAAGGAATAATTTGCTTTTAATAGTGTTTAGATCCATTCAAAAATCTCTTCTTGAGCAACTAGCTGGCAGGCCCTGGCTAGAAATGGGGTACACAGGAGAATGCATGCCCTGCCCACACGGACTCCCCCATGGGGGAGACCGATGCCCCAGACACCCATGCAGAGCAATGCTTTGGAACCATCCGCGACCACAGCACGGAGACGGCTCCATCCAGGAGCATCCAGAACCGTTTGCGGTATCACCAGTGGGGCTGGCGTAACTTAACCCAGCCCCCCACGCCCCGCCGCACCCTTATTTTGAAGCTGAGAAAGCAGAGATTTGGAGAAGGGGGAGAGGCATGGAAGGAGGCTGGGGGACTCGGGGACGGCCTAGAGGTCGCCCCACTCCTAAGCCAACGGATGACCTGCGTCCCTACCTTTTTTCCTGCCCCTCGTGGTGAAAAGAGAAAACTACACAAAAAACATCTCATTGAGAATTATTCACACAAATCAAAACCA